AATCCCATTAATTTGTAAGATTAATATTCACCAATAATTTCAATCTCAAAGAGCAGACAAAAATATTTGAGAATCTGAATAATAATTAACATCTGGAAGATAAGGGGTAATGAAATTACATGGTGTGAATGTTTAAATTAAAAGATTTATTGCAGTGAAAGACAGTTCCGTTAAATTATCTCAAAAATATTCCCCCTGGCTTCAAACATACTTATTTCATTGTTCTTTCCACTGTCTTAAAAACTACTAGAAATTCTTTCTTGAGTGTCATTATAGAATGTGATGAAAAGTACAATAAACACTACTGCCCAATGCCACTTAATGGAAATTCAGGTTGATGAAAACGGATGGGTGTGTCCTCGACATTCTTATGCACTGGGCTTCACAGTCTTGGACTCCTGGCTTTTCCTTAGAGTCAGCACTGCCAGAGTGGTAATTCTCTTTCAGCAATTCGCATTGAGGCAGCCATGACAGCTCAGCCAAACACACAAAACAGGACTTCTAGAACTTCTTTAGAAAGCAGCAGTAATTATAAAGTTGTTGGAAATATGAGGAGCAATGACAGTGTACATTTTATAGTAACAATTGTTTTTATTTCAACACAATGTATTTTTAAAGTGTCTCATACATGTGGTAAATTTATTATAGAAATGATGCCCAAATAATTCATATCTCCCAGTCTCCACAATCTTTGCTATGTGACTTTTCATATTCTCCCACTAATCGGTGCTAAAGCCTTAAATCTTATCTGTCTATAACTTGCACTGGCTACTAGAAACTGCCAGGAACAAAAGTATATCAACTCTGAGCCTACGCATGAAAAGGTTTTCCAAGTTCTTACATGGGAGAGGGCTGTGCACTGAACTAAAACTTGGAATGGTGGGCTGGTAGATGAAAGCTGTATAGGGGAGAGTTGAAGCACTCCACACAATAGACCAAGCAACACACCACCCCACTAAAGCAAAGGGACCTCGTTTTCCTGTAAGCATATTAGAGGATTTAATCTAAAGTAAATGAGAAGACTCAGGCAGAGGAACAGCTTCACTGAGTTCAGGCAGAACCAAGAAAAAGTGTCAAGTCATAGATTAATTAGAAAATAAATTCTAAGGTGATTTGGTTTGACAAATACTCTAGATAAAAATGTTCTACTTGAAAATAAAAAGCTAGTCAACTTATTTAGAAGGGCATTTTTAAATGACAGTCAAAATGAATATGTAAATATTAAAATATTTATATGTATATAAGGATAGCTGGAATAGGTGTATTGCTGATGTCCGTGATTTATTGAAAGGAACAGTCAATGATTAAAATTTTCTTTTTTCCTGACCAATTTTGCATGCTTGAATTTGGTAATCAGAATGACTGAACTAAAAAGAACAATATACAGTATAAAACCCATTGTTGAATTTCTTCCACCTTGTGTGGTGAAGCTCTGCATCATTTCCAATGTTTTTTTTTTATTACTTTTTACTGTCTTTGATTGTTTGATCAGTCTTACATTCTTATAGCTGGTGGGCTGAGCAACTTTGTTGAAGATAACAGTGTGTAATGTAGCAACCATTAATGCCTACTATTTTGTTTTGAGGTCATGTACTGTTTTCACTCTTTTTGTGTTGTTTTGATTGTGTCTTCATTATTCTTTTGTTAGTTTTTAAATTTTTTTTAAAAAAAATGAGCATTCAGTAAGTGCAAAATACCACAATCTGTAGAATAAAACTCACCCAATTCAAACTCATTATGACAGAAAGATATCACTTCCACAAAGATATACAATAAATGGCTAACTTCAAAACTGAGAACCAAATCTCTGTGCTCTGTCAGGTTCTAATTTTCACTGGCTCTGCTATCTCATCTTAGGTAGAGTAGGAGGAAACACATCCAAACACACCTGAAATCTCATATGCATAGAAAATGCTGGAAATATCAACTCTATCAAAAAATAGCCTGAGAGGCTCCAAAGAAGCACACACATGAAGAGTGTTGAGTAAGAGCTCTGATGCCCACAGTCCCACCATCACCTGCACGTTCTCTTTTATGTTTTTCTCTTTGAAGCTCTGGGCCAGAACCACAACCCCACGCTGCACCTGGTATCGAAGGGCAATCAGGGCTGGAGAACGGTTGTGCTTTTTTGCAATAGCACAAAGGACTGGGTCTTCCAACAGAACTGGGAAGCTCAGGTCCATCCTGAAAAGGAAGGCAGAAATTCTCAAATTCTAAAGCCAAATATTTGGTTGATCAGGAGGCTTCCAATACAGACCAAGGTGCTGACCCTAGACCAAGTATCCTTCGATATACTTCCTGAAGAAGAGGCAGCATTACCTTCCGGGATCTTCTCAGAAATGCAGATATACCCTTACCCATGAGGGAACTATGGAAAGCTGAATATTGTAGGACCAAATACATTTCATCATCTGTAGGCAGCCGCTGAAGCTGGAAATTGGTCACACATGCGGAGGCGAGGCAAAACCAGTGAAGAACAAAGAGTACTTGGGACAAGCCCTTAGTTGTTGCTAGGCAAAGCTGTGTCACATGACACTAACTTTGTCAAATGTATAAATAAACGCCCCTATAGTGGTTAAGCATTTTCCTTTCCTCCCACTGGAAAGACAAGGCTCCACCTGACCTCAGCTTTTGTCTCTTTATTTTTCCCGTCCTCTGGGTGCCAGGCCCGCACCACAACATCCGGAGCTGCTTGGGAAGCAGCAATCATCAAGGGTGCATTAGTAAATTTCTTTTTGTTTTTCTTACCATTTCTTATCTCGTTGGGTTCCAAGTGCACCAAAAGCAACCAAAATTATATCCTTTGACTTGCAGAAATCCAGCAGTTTGCTCTGGTTAAAGTAAGGATGGCATTCCACCTGGAAATGGACAAGTTCTAATGGTATCAGATCACATGAAACCATAATGTTAACATGAGAGATCAGTGTGAAAAGTCAATAAAGCTGAATTAAGAAAAGCATGTTACATTATATTTGAACTGAAAACAGAAACCAACACAAAGCATTTTTTCCTAAAATGTGTATGTAATATCTCTGTGCATAAGATGGGATCGAAAAACAAAACGTGCTTTCCTGTAGTGAACCAGCTCTGTGAACCAGATCTTGAATACTAATTATTTTTCCACTATGAATAGACATGACAATCTCATTCTGAGAGAAGCAGAAATATCTTTGAAATTTGATCATCAAATTTGCCTTCAAATTGAGCATCAGAAATCAATAAATACATCAAAGACTCAAGAGCACAAGTCTGAAGAACCAAAGAAATCGGTTTGTCTGGCATTCTACTAGTGACACCTAGGAAGATTCTTTGTGAAGAGCAACAGTGAGTAAAATTTGTTCCAACACATAGAGCAAAGAAAGATTTTAGTCCACAGAAGTAGGCCTATCGCAAGAAAGAAATAAAACCTCTGCCCTTGGTGTTGAAAATTATTTTAACTCTTCCTGACAACTTTGATAGTAAAATGGATAGTGTTAATATTTGTGCTCTATCACAGAAATAACCTTATTCTGACATGATGAGTAAATTTGTTTTCACTCTAAAATATCTGATCATAAACATAGTTAGAATGAAAGTGAATTTTGACAAATTGCAATACAACTTTTGGTTCTGTCAAAAACACAGTTGGACACTCAACAATTGAATAAAAATTTATCTTGAAATGAAAACTGGCTTTTGACCAGTACCAACTACAGGACTCAGGCTACTAGTAAATGTAATGGAGGAATATATATGTTCACGAAGAGGGATCTGGCTTAAAGTACTTAACCAAGTGATTACAATTAACATCGTTAATAGTTAGACATTATTTTTGCATATGGGTTTATTAACATGAATATTTCATAGAATGCTCTCAAGTATTGTGAATTCTAGAAATATTTTTGATAAGATAATTTGAGCTAAGCCAACATTAAAGATACATTGTGTTTATCTTTTATATTTGCAAGTCAAATTATTGGCTCTTTCATCATATGGTAATGAATACAAAAAACTATAGCTGCTGGTCAAAACCCTTACTTCATGAGAGCAATGTGCAGAAACAAAAAAGTCAGCAGACAGAACCAACCAAATAACAAATCTATTGAAGCAGTAGATTGTATTATAGAAAACAAAGGGGAGACTGATGAAGATGTTGTCGGGGGCACTGTCGGCTGTGTGCTGTGCTCCGAGTTTCTGACTGTGAATGTCATC